AGCAAAATAGGGGATCTTGATTCCTTTCTCACCATAGTGTATGATTTTAATACTATTGAGCACATGAAAGGCCTATGGATGATTTGAGAGCAGCAGCAGTAGGTATCACCAAGCCTTGGCTTGTGGTGGGGGACTTTAATGTAGTAATGTTTCAGGATGATTGACTGTTTGGTAATCCAATTACTTATGGTGAAATCAAATACTACTCTGAATGCATGCATGGACTACTCCTAACAGAACTACAACGGAGAGGTGACTACTATACCTGGTCCAATAAACAGCTAGGATCAGACATAATTTATAGTAGATTGGACAGGGCTTTTGGAAACCATGAATGGATGATGATATGGGGGCATCTGATAACTGAATATGATGTACCTTTTATATCAGATCATGCTCCCATTCTACTTACATTGGCCTCTTCTAACAGCAACATCAAGGTGCCTTTCAAATTCTTTAATGTATGGGCCAATCATGAGGAAATCCTGAAGATAATTGAGGTTGTCTAGCAACAGTCTTATACCAAAGTTAAGATGAAGAACATTTGGATGAAGCTGAATAGTCTCAGACCTTTACTAAAGAGACTGAATAATAAAGAGTTTAAATTCATTACTCAGAAAACTGAAAAGGTCAGGCAAGAACTGGTGATCACTCAAGAGCAAATACATATGAGGGGTAATACTGAGGTACTAGAAAAAGAGAGAAATTTAATACAAAACCTGGAGAAATGGTCTATGATTGAAGAAAGTGCATTGCAGCAGAAATCCAAGGCCAACTGGATCAAGCTAGGGGATTCCGATTCTAAATACTTTTCAGCTCTGATCACGGAGATGACACAAAGGAAGCAGATAACAGAACTTACATCTCTTAGTAATAAAAAACTATCTGAACCAAAGGAAATCAAGAAGGAAATAGTGAACTTTTACGAAGGTTTGATGGGATCAGCTACTCATACATTGCCAGCAGTCAACAAGATCACTATGAGGAAAGGACCAACCATCTCACATCAACAAAGACTAAGACTATATGTAGAGGTGACTGAACATGTATCTATGAAGGCTTATCCTCAATAGGAAATGACAAATCACCAGGTGTGGATGGATATATTGCATACTTCTTCAAGAAAGTATGGCCAATAGTAAGAACATAAGTCGTGGAAGCAATAAAGAAATTCTTCAAAACTGAAAAATTGTATAAGGCAATAAACTGTACTGTCATTACTCTAATCCCAAAGACTACCAATCCAACTTCAGTAAAAGAGTATAGACTTATTGCTTGTTGTACTATCCTATATAAATTGATTACTAAAATATTAGCTTCCAGATTGCAAGGTGTGGTACCAGATATCATTTGTGAAGCCCAGGCAGGTTTTATTCCAGGCAGAAAAATATTTGATAATATCATTCTTGCTCATAAGCTTATCAAATCTTACTCAAGGAAAAATGTATCTCCCATATGCATGATTAAAATTGATCTGCAAAAAGCGTATGACTCTGTAGAATGGCCATTTATTAGGTAGGTTCTTGCAGAGTTAGGTTTCCCAGAGAAATTTATTACATGGGTAATGGAGTGTATCCAAACAGTAAACTATACTGTATTGATTATGGAGAGCCAAGTGAAACTTTCAATGCAACAAGGGGTCTTCGACAAGGAGACCCAATGTCTCCCTTTTTTGTTTGCAATTGCTATGGAGTATTTAAGTAGAAAGCTCAATGAGTTGAAAGATAACAGATCATTTCAGTTTCATTGAAGGTGTGCAAGACTCGGAATTATACACCTTAGTTTTGCAGATGATCTACTTCTCTTTGCCAAAGGAAACTTAACTTCTATTACTGCTCTACACAAGTGTTTTAGTCAATTTTCTGAAGCATCAGGGTTGCAGGCTAATCTTGGCAAAAGTTATGTATATTTTGGTGGAGTCAAGCAAGAGGATCAAGACAACATACTGAGTCATTTAGGCTTTGTCCATTTTTAGGTTATAATTTGTTTTGCTATATAAAATATGAAAGGGGGGGTTATGACAAGCCAAACTTCAACTGTATATGTCTGACAAACCAAACATTACGTTTGAAGACAAAATTGTCTAAAGTGTAATTGCACAATCAATATGCTAAACCTAGGTAAAATTTATAACTTTGGATGCCGATTTTGCAACTTCACATATATATGTCTGAAGTGGCTAGCTTACAAATATTTATAAACTTAGGCCATGGCTTAAATACAGATCCCAAAATCGGATATCTGTGCACTTTCCCCAAAGAATCCTCCTAAGTCTAGCTCAATCGGAGAACTCAATAATAAATTGTTGAATTCCCCTAATATAAAGGAAACGTTTGGTGTAGTGACAAAGGTGTCTACAAAAGTATATTTTCTCTGTTTCAATTTATGTGAAGGTGTTCAGATTTCAAGAGGCGTATTATTTTTTGACCGTAATTTTCAACAACAACAACAACAATATACCTAGTATTATCCCACACTGTAGGGTCAGTGGAAGGTAGTGTGTATGCAGACCTTACCCCTACCTTGTGAGAATAGAGAAACTATTTCCAATAGACCCTCGACTCAGGAAAGTATAAGCACCACATTAATGAAAATATATACAAAAAGGTACAATACCAAAAGCCATATAAAAGCATAATAAAGACAACAAAATAGTAAGATGATCAACAATGAAAAAAAATAACGGTTAATCATAAAAACTTACTACCAACAGAAAGCGAGACTGCATTCCCATACTACTATTATGAACACTCTAGACTACCTACTCTACTACCCTAATTCTCGACCTCAATACCTTCCTATCAAGGGTCATGTCCTCGGTCAACTGAAGCTGTGCCATGTCTTGCCTAATCGCCTCTCCCCACCTCTTCTTTGGCCTACCTCTACCTCTTCATAGGCCCTCCAATGTCAACCTCTCGCACCTTTTCACTGGGGCGTCTGTGCTCCTCTTCCTCACATGACCAAACCACCTAAGCTACGCTTCCCCCATCTTATCCCCAATAGGGGTCATACCCACCTTGTCGCGAATAACCTCATTTGTAATCCTATCTATCCTGGTGTGCCCGCACATCTATTTTAACATCCTCATCTTTGCTACTTTCATCTTCTAGACATGAGCGATCTTGACTGGTCAACACTCATCCTCATATAACATCGTCGGTCTTACCACTACACTGTAGAACTGACCTTTAAGTTTTGGTGGCACCTTCTTGTCACACAAAATACCGAAAGCGAGTTTCTATTTCATCCATCCCGCCCCAATACGATGTGTGACCTTCATCAGTCTCTCCACCCACTGAATAATAGACCGAAGGTACTTAAAACTTTCTATCCTAGGGATGACATGCGAGTCCAGCCTCACCTCCCCTTCCCCTCCTTGAGTCTCACCACTGAACTTACACTCCAAATATTATGTCGTGGTCATGCTCAACTTAAAACCTTTAGACTCCAGGGTCTGCCTCCATACCTCTAACTGCACATTCACACCGCCTCGCATCTCGTCAATCAATATAATATCATCTGCAAATAGCATGCACCACGATACCTCCCCTTGGATGTGATGCGTCAGTACGTCCATCACCAAGGCAAACAAAAAAGGGCCGAGTACCGACCCCTGATGCAACCCCATCATAACCGAAAAATGATCCGATTCCCCACCTACCGTCTTCACTCGGGTCTTTGCTCCATCATACATGTCCTTATTCACCCTAACATAGGCAATCGGTACACCTCTTGCCTCCAAACATCTCCACAAAACCTCCCTTCGAACTTTATCGTACGCCTTTTCTAAGTTGATGAACATCATATGCAAGTCATTCTTCCTCTCCATGTACTGATCCATCAATCTCCTAACGAGGTAGATAAATTCTGTACTTGAACGCCCTAACATAAATCCGAACTGGTTCTCGGAAATAGACACACTCCTCCTCACCCTTAGCTCTACCACTCTTTTCCTAGACTTTCATAGTATGGCTAAGCAGCTTGATACCCTGAAAGTTATTTCAATTTTGGATATCACCCTTGTTATTGTATACAGGAACTATCGTACTCCACCTCCACTCTCCGGGCATCTTTTTCGTTCAAAACATGACATTAAATAACCTAGTGAGCCACTCCAAGCCTACCTTGCCCGCACTCTTCCAAAACTCCAACAGAATTTTATCCGGCCCGATCGTTTTGCCCCTGCTCATCTTACGCATAGCCCCATCCACTTCATCAACTCTAATCCGCCTACAATACCCGAAGTCACAACAATTCCCAAAGAGTTCCATATCACCCAGTATAATATTCCTGTCCCCCTCTTCGTTCAAAAGGCTATGGAAGTAGGTTTGACCATAATTTTCATATCTTTTAAATATTTTGAGTAATTAATTATTGTAATTTATACTCCCTCCGTTCTAATTTATGTGAACCTATTTGACTGGGCACGAAGTTTAAGAAAAAATAAAGACTTTTGGAATTTGTGGTCCTAAACAATTCAAAAAGGGTTCAGAGTATTTGTGTGGTTATAAAAGCTTCTCATTAAGGATAGAATTGTAAGTTTAAGCAAAATTATTTCCAAATTTAGAAATGGATCATTCTTTTTGGAACGGACCAAAAAGAAAATAGGTTCACATAAACTGGAATGGAGGTAGTAGTATTTTTTACCTAGTTTCTAAATATATAAATTTTATTTTGAAAAACTAAATAATTCTATATCCAAATGCATGATTAAAATTAAGAAGTTTGAATCTTGAAAAGCAAAAAAAGTCACATAAATTGGGACAGAGAGAGTATTAGGTTACAAGTTCAAATTTTAGCTTTTACCTATTATTGATAGAAGAAACAACATAAAAAGTAAACATAGAAGCACCAACGTTTTTTGGAAGTGGAATATCACTGCACAATTAAAGGAAGCAGGGAAGGAAGGAGGCATTTAATTTCTCATCAGAAAGAGAGAAATGGGGGTTTTCTAAGTTAGCTAATAACTTGTAACTGGAGTGGCAAACTCAAGAAATTCTTCATCTCTCTAATGCTAACATTTGCTTTTCTTCTAACGTTACCAATGCTTCAACACCACGAAGACAAGCTATTCTGCCACGGACCAAATGGTGATGATACTCTTCCTGGTTTTCCCCATCCAAAATCTATACTATAACCAGAAAATTTGCACATGTTACTGCAAAAATATGTGTCGAATTCTTCAAAATAGAACAGTGGTCTTCCATTTTTAGTGCATTCCTCTATTTCAAATTTTCAATGACCAAGGCATTTTGTTTAACAGGATCTTTCTTGTACACTGCTTCAAGTTCTTTCCTAAGGTTGCAAACCAATGTTGCTATTTTCATCTCATCTTCCTTAGTCACGACGAGTAAAAAAACACTCAAGAGATTTCCTATACTGTTTTGTGGCAAAGGGGGGACGACCAGTGGGCGTATATCAACGTCATTCAACATCATGGACGGTCTAAATGTACCAGAATTATTGTTAATTCTTGATGCTGCTTTCGTGACGAATTTGAACATAATTGCACTCACAACTTCAGAACGACTAGGATTCTTGACCCCCGATTCAACTGCAACTATTGCTCTAAGGGCGCCTAATTTGGAGCCAGAGAAAAGGAACTTCCTATGTGCGCGCACATTTTTCAGTATTGGACTGAAAAGGTGGATCAAACAGAGAACCATTTAGTGATGGAAAGATTGAATCTCCAATGAATTTAGGACGAGGAATTATGTTTGGATTGCGTGTTACTCTAGTGTCTAGCCCAATCATGGAAAAAACTAGCTGCAGGGTAATATGAGGCTAGTGTTGTTGCAAGAGAACTTTGTAATCTGTTAGTTATATGGGCAAGTTGCACTAGTTGATTGTTATTGTAGAAAAAGACTAGAGGAATGTATAAATGACTCAAAGATTGGTCAATAAAAGAGAGCCCGTGGTACTTAAGAGAAGAAGGGGAGGGAGAAGAAGGCTTGACAATGGTTTTCTCAGGAATTGAAATACGTTGAGATGGAACTGCAGCCATGTTTACTTTCTTTTTTCCAGTTTCTCTTTAGCAAATACAAACGTTCATCCTATATATAACAAGGGACATGGCATATATAGTATCATACGTGGATATGCTAAAGGATTTAAGTTATTGTACTTGTTGGTAGTCAAAGATTTCTTTTTGAAAATCTATATAGCCATGAGTCTATTTATTTTACAAGTGTCCTATCAATTTTTAAGTGACTTCTTGCATGAAACCTTAAAGCCAAGTGTTGAGAGGCTTTGACAAGTGGCTATGCAAATCTACCATGTGTCTTCATGCATGGAAGACTAGGTACACTTGTTAATATTGAAGCCAAGTGGACTAATATATTTGGACAAGTGTTAAAAGAGTCTCCACACTTGTCATACATGCAACCTCCCTAATTACCTATAAATAGGTTGTGGATTAGCCATCATAACCAAGTCAATTCTTAACCAAGAATTCATCTTGCTAATCATTACTTTCTTCCTACAACATTTTTAATTTCTGTAACAGCTACAGATTAATTCCTTCATCTATATCTGTCCAACAACTTTGCCTATAAAAGGGCAGTCTTCTTTGTGAATTATCCAACACAGAAAATACCTTCATCTTCTCTTCTTTTTGGGTAACTGTTTTGTGCAAATTCTAAACTTTCAGCCACGAGTGCACGTGTTTGGAGGTGCTATGGAACCTTGGGGAGCGACCAGCCTTAACGATTTATACCCAGTCGGGCCGAAATCGCTTTCAAGGCAGTGACCTGCCACGGCACAATATTTTTGATAAGTTGTTCTTCTTTCATTCTTGTTCTTAGTCAATATTATATACTCATTTTTCTTACAATTTGAAAGCGACTTCGCATATAATATTGACTAATGGCCACCACTTTAAACAAAACACTCCCTGATCTCTCAAAGCTTGAGTCTTTATATGGAAACAATTATAAGCATTGGTCCCAGAAACTTTTAATTTTCTTTGAACAATTAGAAGTTGATTATGTTTTTGTTTAACGATCCTCCTGCTGATATTGTTACTGAATATTCTAATACTGCTAATACTGTTGTTGCTGATGATGCTACTAAGAAGAAATTTGAAAAGGATAATAAAATAGTGAGAGGGCATCTGCTTAACCATATAGCTAACCCTTTCTTTGATTTGTTTATAAATTATAAATCTGCTAAAGTCATATACAACAGTTTGGAGAAGAAATATGGAGCAGATGACGCGGGAAAAAAAAGTATGTGGTTGGAAAGTGGATTAAGTTTCAGATGGTTGATGATAAACCAATCATGGAGCAGGTTCACGAATATGAGAACTTGACTGCTGATGTTTTGAACGAAGGCATGAAAATGTGTGAGATTCTTCAGGCTAATGTTCTGCTTGAAAAGTTTCCACCTTCCTGGAGTGATTATAGGAATCAACTGAAACACAAGAAGAAAAACTTAACTCTTCAAGAACTGATCGGTCACATGAGGACTGAGGAAGCAAACCGTCTCAAAGATGAGGAGTCTGAACGACTTAAGGATAAGATGGAATCTCTCTCTCTTAATTCTTTTAAAGCTAACCTTGTGGAATCTTCTAGTACTTTTGTAAAAGACAAGTTTAAAGGAAAACAGAAGAAAGGCCAGAAGAAAGGACATGTGAAGAAGCAGAATTACTTCAATAAGCCGGAGGGCCATATTCAAAAGTCTAAAGGACCTTGCTATGTCTGCGGTAAAATTGGTCACAAGGCTTTTCAGTGCAACCAGAGACAAGGACAAAGCTTAAAGAATGGAGAAAAAGCTCCAGTCCAAGCTAACCTTACTGAGGGTGGTGATGTCATTGCTGCTGTGGTTGTTGAGGCAAACATGATGACTAACAAAACTGACTGGATACTGGACACAGGCGCTTCAAGGCACCTTTGCGCCAACAAGGAGTTGTTTCATGACTTTGAGGAATCTGCTAATGGCGAGTGTGTCTATATGGGTAACTTCACTACGGTTGGAGTTATAGGTAAAGGAAAAATTCTCCTTAAGTTAACTTCTGGAAAAACCTTAGCCTTGAACAATGTTCTGTATGTACCCTCCCTTCGTAGAAACTTAGTTTCTGGTGCACTTCTCAACAAAGCAGGTCTTAAACTTATTTTTGAATCTGATAAAATTATTATTTCTCATGGGAGAGACTTTGTTGGGAAGGGTTAGCTTAGTGGGGGTTTATTTGTACTGAACATCACTCAAGAGATTACTAATAATACTAGCACTTTTAATTATGCTTATATTGATGAGTCTATTGATTTGTGGCATGGTAGACTAGGTCATGTTAATATTGCTTCTATTAAAAGACTTAAAAAAATGAAATTAATTCCTGCAATTAATTTTGATAATTTTTCTAAGTGTCCTGTTTGTGTAGAAGCAAAACATACCAAAAAGCCTTTTAAGAATGTAACCAGTAGAAAAATAGAAATGCTTGAACTAGTACATTCAGACTTAGCAGATTTCAAGAACACTGTTAGTAAAGGTGGAATGAAATACTACATCACCTTTGTAGATGACTTTTATAGATACACTAAGGTATATCTTCTTAAGTCAAAAGATGAGGCTGAAAGCATGTTTTTGAAATACAAGGCAGAAGTAGAAAATTAATTAGACAGAAAAATCAAGAGGCTTAGGTCTGACAGGGGTGGTGAATATAGTACTAATACTCTAGATGCCTTTTGTGAGAAAAATGATATTATACATGAGGTTAGTGCTCCCTATACTCCCCAACAAAATGGTATAGCCGAACGGAAAATAGAACCCTTAAGGAAATGATGAATTCTATGCTTTTGAGTTCGGGTTTATATGATAATATGTGGGGGAAGCTATTTTATCCGCATGATATGTTCTTAATAAAGTTCCTCATAAGAAGTTAGATAAAACCCCGTATGAGTTATGGAAAGGGTTTTCTCCTAACTTGAAAATTCTGAAAGTGTGGAGTGTTTGGCTAAGGTTGGTCTACCTGATTTTAAATAAGTAACTGTTGGACCCAAGACTTTTGATACTATTTTCATTGGTTATGCTCAAAATAGTGCTGCATATAGATTTATGTCTTTGAATGATAGTTCTATTTGTGAATCTAGAGATGCAGAATTTTTTGAGCATGTTTTTTCATTGAAAAATAATGTGCCTAATAATGCCTGTACATCTATGTCTGTTAATTCTCATATTGTGCCTTCTTCTAGTATATCTACTAATGAGCATGAAAATGAACTTAGAAGAAGTAAGAGGCGTAGAATTGAAGCTAGCTTTGGTCCTGACTTTATTACTACTTTCTTGACTGAAAATGTTGATTTTGATGTTTTGAATAATGAATTAGTGTCTATCTATTTAATAGAAGAAAACCCTAAGACTTATAATGAAGCAATAAGGTCAATAGATACTAGTTTTTGGAAAGAGGCCATTAAAAGTGAATTAGACTCTATAGTTTCTAATCACACTTGGGACTTGTCTGATTTGTCTAAAGGTTGTAAACCCATAAGTAGCAAGTGGATATTTAAGAAGAAATTAAGACCTGATGGTACAATTGGGAAATATAAGGCTAGACTTGTTATTAGGGGTTTTAACCAAAATAAAGACATTGATTACTTTGACACTTATTCTCCTGTGGCTAAGATAGCGACTATTAGAACTCTTGTTGCTTTAGCCGCTATTCATAATTTAGTGATACATCAAATGGATGTTAAAACGACTTTCCTAAATGGTGATTTAAAGGAAGAGATCTATATGCCTCAATCTGAGGGATTTGTGATCTAAGGACAGGAGAATAAAGTATGCAAATTGAGAAAGTCTTTGTATGGTCTAAAGCAGGCACCTAAACAATGGTACGAAAATTTTAATAGCATATTAGCGGGTAATAGTTTTGTTGTTAATGCATCTGATACTTGTATTTATTTCAAGATGATAGGATCAGATTGTGTTATTAAATATTTGTATGTGGATGACATGTTAATCTTTGGCCCTAATGTGAATGTCGTTAATGAGACTAAGAATTTTTTGTCTTTTAAATTTAAAATGAAAGATTTTGGAGAAGCAGATGTGATTTTAGGGGTTAAAATCAAAAGAACTTCTAATGGTTTTTCATTGTCTCAGTCTCATTATATTGAGAAAATATTGAAAAGGTTTAATTATTTTGATGTAGCACCTGTGAGAACTCCTTATGATCCTAGCATACACTTAAAAAAGAAGAAATCTAGTATTTCTCAAACTGAATATGCTAAGATAATTGGTAGTATAATATTTCTCATGAATTATACACGACATGATATTGCTTATGATATTAGTAGATTAAGTAGATATACTCACAACCCTAATAGTGAATACTGGAATGCTCTTCATCATTTGCTAAAGTATTTGAGAGGTACTATGGATTGGTGTTTGCATTTTAATAAATTTTCTGCTATTTTAGAAGGATTTTGTGATGCAAACTGGGTTACTGACAATGATGAAGTTAGCTCCACTAGTGGCTATGTGTTTACTTTGGGTGCATGTGCTGTTTCATGGAAGTCTTCAAAACAGAGTTGTATAGCACGATCTACTATGGAGTCCGAATTTATTGCTCTTGAGTTGGCAGAGCAAGAAGCCGAGTGGTTGAGAAACTTGTTGGCAGACGTGCCTTTGTGGGGAAGACAAGCTTCACCAGTTTCTCTACATTGTGACTCACAGGCGGCAATTGGAATTTCCAAAAATAGTGTGTATAATGGAAAAATGAGACATATCCGCATTAGGCATGGTGCGGTAAAACAGTTGTTAAAATATGGTGTTATTTCCTTGGAATATGTAAGATCCGAAAGAAATTTGGCGGATCCTTTAACCAAGGGTTTGGCAAGGAGAGTTATCCTTGAAACGTCGAGGGGGATGGGGCTAAAGCCCATGGATTGCGAAAGTATAGTGGATACCCGTTTGTGGTCAAACGAAGCCATATGAGACCTCAATATGCACTACATTTCCTATCCCTATAGCGTGTGGTAGTGCTTTATAAGGTTGAGCTTATTTTGCTCT